ACTTATCGATATAATGATCGATATTTTTATCGATTTTGTTATCGACACTTTAATCGATTTTTTTATCGATTTTATTATAGATTATTTATCGATTTTGTTATCGATATTTTTATCGATTTTGATATCGATATTTTTATCGGCTTTGTTATCGATATTTTTATCGTTTTTGCTATCGATATTATAATCGACTTTGTTACCGATATTTTTATCGATTTTGTTGTCGATATTTTTATCGATATTTTTATTGGTTTTGTTACCAATATTTTTATCGATTTTTCTATTGATATTGTTATCGATATTTTTATGGGTTTTGTTATCGATATTTTTATCGATATTATTATCGCTTTTGATATCGATATTTTTATCGATTTTGTTATCGGTTTTGTTATCGATTTTGTTATCGATTATTTATCGAGTTTGTTATCGATATTTTCATAGATTTTTTTATTGATATTTTTATCGATTGGTTTATCGATATTTTATATCGATTTTGTTATCGATATTTTTTTAGGTTTAGTTGTCGATTTTGTCACCGATAGTTTTATCGGTTTTGTTATCAATATTTTTATCAATTTTGTTATCGAAATTTTTATCGATATTGTTACTGATTTTGTTATCGATATTCTCGATTTTTTTATCGATTTTAAAAAAATCGATTTTAAATTTTTTTTTCTTAGTGTGATTTCGTTTTTGACTTGGATATGCTCTTAACCATACCACGTATTACGTATTGAGAAATGTAAAAGTAAATTTGAACCAAAATATAAAAAGGTTTTATTTGGGAAGAGCATTATTTAGAATTCGACTTTTAAATCGCAAGATTGCATTCAAAATAAGAAAACAAAAAAAATCACAGAATAATGCACGCGTGGTTTTTATTACAAAATGAAAAGAACAGTTACAATGAACTCTCCTTTAACAGTTTACATTTTAAATATTTTTAATAAAAAAACCACGTAAGTAAAAAAAAGTACCAAGCACTAATAATGGTTTTTGATTTGAAATGTTATTACATTGGTATAAATATGGGAAAGAAAATACTCCGATTTATTGTTTTAATATTATCAAAGTGGCAAGGCCGTTGATAATACTCACAATTTATGAAACTTCAAAAAATTTTATTATCCGTCAAAAGTTGTTTATTGAAACTACCTTCTTTTTTGTATCATGATTCATACTATTCTAAATGCTTTACTGTTGTCACAGATTTTAACTAGGGATGTGCGATTAATCGATTAATTTTTTTTTTAATTTATCATAATTCTGATTTATCTAAAAACGTGATTAATCAGATACTGATTGATCCGCTTCTGAATAATAACTGTCTACTCATAAAATGAATGAAAAAATATACATACAAATATTTGAGTATACATTTTTTTCTATAAAAAAAAATATAGCAGCAATTATTCGGGTTTTTGATTAATCAGGTTATGATCAGTTTTCTGATTAATAAAATTAATTAGATTCTGATTAATTAAAATGTAATTAATCGAGAAATTAATAACAATCAATTAATTAAACAGGTTTCGATTAAAAAGCTTGTTTAATTAATTGATTAATCGCACATCCCTTATTTGAACGCAATAAATTTTTTGAGATGGGATGTGGTCTTCGCTGGAATTGCCCATGTGCAAATCTTACTACTCACTACTTTTTCGAAATAAACTAAGAAATTATTAGACACAATAGAGTAGTTTACAGTTGACGTGATTTTCGTGCTTTTTCAAGACAAAACCAGAAAAACGTTCCACATGCGCTAAAAAAGTAAAAAAACAGACGTATATTACACGATTTTAACAATCACAAACATTCCTTTGACTGTAAGTCCAATACACAAAATATTTTTGATAACATCTGGATATTCGACGTATATACATATGTAGTGCGCCACTAGTTTTTGAAGAATTCAAAAGTATGCGCCAGAATTTTTTCCTTCTGCTGCACCGACATACGCGCATCCACTATGAAGAATGTCAAAAATCTTTCAAAGACATCCGCCTCGACAGCCCCATTGATGGCGCGCTCCGTGGCGTAGATAGAACCCAATGGCTCACCGCTGCTAGTCACTGTGATATTTATATGATAGAGATTGTTCGGTTGCAACAGCACCGACAACAATATATCGCGTGGCACGTGGTCTTCAAGCAGTCTCATAATTTCACCATAAAGATTCCGCTCGACATAAGTGCAACATGGATACTCGCTGCACTGACAGTAGGGGCAAAAGCTGGGTGACTCCTTTAGCGGTATCTCAGCAGTGTCCTGCCCACAGGGTAGAATAGAACTTGACGCCGAGCTGGTGTGGCTGCTTGCCGGCACGCCTGATGTATTCTTCGGTGTCACAGGGACGGTTGATGGTGGCGAACTTTGTGTGGCCTCATCGATGAAGGGGCGCCAGCCGAAAGTGGCATTGGTTTGTGAGAGCTTATCGGTGTGATCGACAGTGAAGCAAGTTTGCACTGTCTCCGCCTTCTTTTGTGGACGTGGTGGTTGTGGTGCGCGCGTAACCACAGTTGGCTCTGTAGCTGTTTCGCATTTCTCAACTTGGCTTGCTTGCTTTTGCCCCCTAATAACTTCTGATATCGCCTCCGCATGACGATTCTTCAAATCGGCAAGCAGTGACGTGAGTTCACGAAGTTTAGCGGTGAGCTCGGTGCAGCGCAACATATCGTCGGGCGGTATAATTTCAGTGCGCATTCTGCGTAGCTCGCGGCGTAGTTCGTTCACTTGTAACTCCAAATTGTGTATGCGATTACACTGATATGCAATAATTTCTTTGGTTATGTCTGGCGGTCTGGGTTGTGTAAACGGCTCGCGTGGTGTGTACTCCTCCCTTTCGTGACAAGGCAAACGTTTCTCTTCAACTGGGTGACAAGGTTGTTCTATTACGGCTGGCGCCGCCGGCGGTAGCGGTTCGACGCTCGTTTCTCGTTGTCGTATCCTTGGAAATGGAAACATAGATGGTGAACATGGTCGTTTCTCCACACATGGTTCTCCTGACGTTTTCTTAGCAGCGGAACATGACAAAACCAAATACTTAGAGGGATAAGCGTCAAGACCAGCGCCGCCGTCTTGCAGTTCATCAGTCTTGTCAACCGATTTGTCTACGCAACCTGGCGGCTTCTTGGCTGCTGGTGGAACTAGCAGGGGCGCTGGCACTTCCCTCTCTTCCGGCTCATTTCCTAACTCTCTACGCAACTGTTCACGATCTTTTGATGGCCCTCTTGGTTCTCTCTTCCTTTCCTTCTTTACTTCCCTCTCCCTTCTTCGCTCGGATTTCTTTTCAATAGTCGCATGCTCTCGTGGACATACAATGCGGCATTTTGTTGGCATTTTTGTGGATTTTTTTTCATAACAATTGTGCTCTAAAAGGCGGTAAATTCGTTCATTATTGCATTTTACCGGTCCTTGGCTGTCTGTGTACTGAACTCTCTTCGCCGTTTTGTCTAGCTTCACATTTTCCTGTCCGGATTGCAGACATCTTTCTTGCTCTCTGGAAACATTGGATTTATTTTCATTAGTTTTCCACAGCCCGCCAGCGGGGAGGCGTATCTTTTGATGAGAGGGCGACAGCGTAGCATTGTTGCCATATTCATATTTTGGATCGATAGTGATGAATTTGGAATTCGTTAGCACGCGAAAGACGTCTAAAATAGAGACGAGAAAAGCAATTGTAAGCGATTTTAAAAAAAATCTACATAGTGTGAGTAAACATTTTTGAAAACAAAAATATAAATTGAATATTATTTTTCGATTTCAAAGTTTCCAAAGCAATTTGTAGAGATTGGTCGCTCAGTTATTGCTAAGGTGATGCTACTAGATCAGCTGATTTTGTGTGTATGTTTCGCCCCACGGCTGAAAATGTAAAATTCAAATACTTTGTCTTGCTTATTGCCTTTAACAAATTAGAAGCACTGTTGATAAAACTATAGGGTATTAGTATTATTTATTTATTTATAGTTGGCACCTGCCAAATCAACTGTAAATTTTTCTAAAAATAAAAGTCGTTTGGAAAATGCTATCGATTGGGCTTTTAGATATGCTAGTCACAAATTGTATGTCAAATTATAAGTTTGACAGTTGACAGCTGCCAATTAGGCTAATAGTTTCTCTAAAACTGAGAAAATCTTTTTTGAAATGCCACTGGTCAAGTTTTTGGATACGCTGATTACAAATTGTATGTCAAATTAATAGTTTGACAATTGACAGCTCTCAAACGACTGTAAATTTTTCAAAAATTAAGGGCCAATTTCAGATTAAAATTTAAATGGCACTTAATTTAAATTTTCGATTGTTTCTCTAATACCATTTCAATTTCGTTGGGTTTCAGATCAACTATATTTAAATATGTCAAACAGGTGGCAACACTGTTGCTTGTTCCTTGAAATTGTTCTTGCATTTGTTTGTTTGTTTACGTTTTGTGCTGAACTGCTGATTATGATCTGAAAGTGAACTTTTGAAGTTCATCAACAATCTTACTTAAATACCTCATCTGAAATTGGTCAAAAATAATCTTGTTTTTTTTTGTTTCCACAAGACTTTTTTTATATGGCATACATTTTTTTCCCGTTGTAATGCCTAGTGGAAATTCGGTATAAAAAATAACACCAAACTGGAAATTACTGTTGGATTTGAAATTTTCCAGAAAGCTATCAGCTCGTTATGGTTTCGACAGTCGAATTCGTTGAATTAAACGAATTCAATGGTTTTCCCAGCAGATATTATAGAAAATACTAATTAGTTTAAAGTTCCTTGGACATTTCTGAATAAGGATGACTTTATTCTGGCTAATTTTTCACAATTTTCAAATGTGCGTTTTTTATGTAAAACATGGATGGGGACAAATACATAAACAATTGACATATTTAAGTATATTATTGTAAATTAATGGAAATATTTAAGCAAATAAAAATTATAAATATAATTTTAAAACTATTTTTACAAATAAAATAACTATTTTAGGACACAAAATTTAAATTACAATTACTATTTCCATGGCCTATCATTTTAATCGTTAAAAACTAAGTTTTTTTGACCCGTTTTCTCATGAAGTTTTTAAAATCTCTTTAAATGCTCTTTATACCAGGCACCGAAAACAAAAGTAATTTTTTTTCGATGGCATAAAAGTCGGGGCAAAATACTGTCGTAGAAGAAAGATATCAATCTGCATTTGATCCAGGCCCTCCTAGACAAGAATCATGGATTCATTTTATTTTTCGAGCTTTTTGGGAAAAAGTCCAATAATAACTGAAAAATGTGGACTTTTATTTTTTAAGTCTAGTAATAACAGTAAAACTTGGCCAAATATTTTTTCAAGGCCAAAATACTAAGGTCATTTCCTAATAATAAACAAACCACTTATCCAAATTAAACGAATTTGGTATCAAATGAAAGAAGACTGAAATAACTTTCCTCATTTTTAAAGCTATATCAGTTCTCTTTCAATTTTGTTTAACTTGGATAAGTGGTTAATTTTTTATTAGGAAAGGACTTTTATTTCGGCCTTAAAAAATATTTGGAAAAGTCTAACTGTTATTCCAGGACAAAAAACGAAACCAAAGTTCAAAAACAATTTTTTTCTAACAACTTTTATTATAAAAGTTATGAAAGTCCAGGTCCATGCTTTAACCACAAATTATTTTCCCTGAAAAAACGCTAAAGTATGCACATTAGTGTGGTCCTTAAAAATCAAATGAAGGATTTTTTCAGTCTCACCCCCTCAATCGGTACTACAACGGTCACAGATATCACATATAAATTTTGGTCCCGATTTTAGTCGATTAAGTTGTGTCGGACAGGGGGGCAAAATTCAGATTTCTCTATTGTGTTTAAAAAAAATTTAAATCAATTTTTTCCCTTTCAATACCCAAAATCGATACTACTATAGTAGCAAATATCACATATAAATTTTGATCCCGATTGGAGACGGTTAAGACCTCTTCATAGGTTAATCTGAACTTTGACCCCTGTGCGACACGCCTTAACCGACTCCAATCGGGGCCAAAATTTATATGTGATTTCTTCGACTATAGTAGTATTGATTTTGGGTAATAGTTAAACAAAAAAATGTATTTTAATTTTTTGAGTCTCCATAGAGAAATCTGAAATTTGACCCCTGTGCGACACGCCCTAACCGTCTCCAATCGGGACGTAGCATCGACGTAGAGGAAGCGTTTTAGGAAATCTGATGTAAAAATATGCTTTTTACATTTAAGGACCACCCTAATATGTATGTAACATATGAATCAAGGCACATTAAACAGGTAGTATCAGTAGAGCAAAAACAACATTTGCGTGTATTTTGTTGTTGCTTCTGGTATCGAAAGTGTCAAAAACTGTTCTGAATTTTTTCTTCTAAATCAAAGCGTGCCATGTGAAATACAAAAAATTATAAAAAATAAAAAATTTAAATTGGAAAAAATAAAAATTGATGCAAGTAAATTTGTTTGCTTCTCGAAGCATTGATCCATCCTTTGCAAGGCCCAGTAATCAGCGGTCGTGCTGCCGAGTTGGGCGAACGTTCCAAAAGCTGCTATTCAATCGCTTGTTTTGTATGGAAAAAGGTTTCACATGCAAATGGATTTTAACAATTCAGAATTTTTGTGAGAAAAAATTAAAAATATTTGACATTTTCGAGACCAAATAATTTGAAAATAAATCAAATCAGCTGCTCTACTGATACTACCTGTTCAATGTACCTTGATATGAATGTATAATATAATGTAATGGGAAATTATTTGGTGAAATCATTTCGCTTTACTTTACAAGTAGTAGCACGTCATTGAGGCTTAGACTAAAAGCTTGCAAAAACATTTGATTAAAAAATTATAAATATTAAGCTATAAATCATAATTAAAAAATAATATTAAATAATTACAACTTAGACTGATTAAAAAAAAATTTACTAGCTTTTTTCTTTTTCAAAACCCCCTGTGAAATATTTACGGCATAGTCGAAAAGACGCCCGTCAAAAGCGCAGTCTTTAATACCATTAATGGCGAATTTCCATTTTCCATATAAATTACACGGGAAAAAAATGTTTTCAATTTTGAAATTTAATTAATCGTTTCTGGTCAACGTGTCGGAATGACCAATATATTTTTGGAGGAAATTGAAGGCTCTTATAATTTCTCTAAAAATATACTCCACCAAAAGTTATTAAAGGTTAAATTCAAACATTTTCAAACTTGCACTTTGTTACACTAGCATTATGGACAAATTTGTATATTAGGGCGGAGCAATTTGATTTCGAAAAAATTTTATGACCTATTCGAATTCTACGTTCGATTCTAAGAAAAAATTATGGACAAACTATATACCAAAAATGACGTTTGACCCTCCCAATTTTTAAATCAGTGTATTATAATTTTTTCTGAACGAAATTAATTTTTCATTTAAAAAATTTTATGTGTTCTTCATATTTAATACTTCACAAAACCGAGAAAATAGAAAATTATGTAAAAAATTTTTTGGTACAATGAAAAATAAATTTCGACCAAAAAAGTTACTATGTACTGCTTTTCTATTAAAAATATGGAGGATCAAATGTAATTTTTGGTGTATAGTTTGTTCGCCATTTTTGCTTAGAATCGTAGAATTTAAATTTGCTATGGTGATATGGGGTAGAAGTCTTGTGTTCAATTTTTAAAAGTTTACACAATTCCTCAAATACGTTGTTTTTGTATTCAGTCCCCATATCAGTTATGATGGTCTTCATACAACCATATACCAAAATAAAGTTTTCAAAAATGGCTTTTGCCACCGTTTTCGCGTGTTTGCTCGCAATTGGAATTGCTATCAGATACTTTGTCAGATCACACACTATGGTAACCGCATACTCATTTCCACATACCGATACGGGCAACGGTCCAATTGTATCAATTTGCACCGTATCGAAGGCTTTTGTGGGAGTTTCCGTTATCACCATTGGTTCTTTTAAATTTTTATTTACTTTATTTTTGCTGCATTCCATGCATTTTTTAATGTGATTTTTATATCATTTTTCATGTTTTTCCAATAATATTTTTGTTTTATTTTATTAGTTGTTCGATTGATTCCTGGGTGGCCACCAGTAACAGGATCATCATGATACTTTTTCAATAAATTTTTAATTGTATCTTTATCAGTCACATTCATAACCTCCGGAGTTAATGCAATTGTTAAGTTTTTGAGAACTTTGGTACCAATTTCTTTAAATGTGCTTACTCGAGTATAATTATTCTTGAACAATTTGTCTCCTAAGGACAACTGTATTTTATTTATTTTCAAACTGTCGGCTTCTTTCATTAGTCTGGCAAAGAATTGACCTAAATCAATATTCGCCTCAACAATTGAATTATTAATACTTGAATTGCCGGCTTCTTTTGAAAGCCTGGCAAAGGATTGACCTGAATCAATCTTCGCCTCAACAATTAAATCATTAATATCTATTTTGCTACAAATTTTCTTTCCCTTTTTGAACTGCAGTTTCGGGGGGTCGAAAACGAGCTGGGCTAGCTTTTTAACTTCACATTTATTTAGCGCCTCATATATTATTGGGTTCTCAATGTGACTTTTTTCTTTATTAATATTTTTATTATTTGGTTTTTGCTTAGTTTCCGATCTCATCGCATCTTTTAGTATTTGACATGCTTTAATTGACATTTCTCTTAAATCATTTATATTGATGCGTGAAAGCGCATCCGCCACGTAGTTTTCTTTTCCAGCTATATACTCCACCTCAAAGTTATATTCCTCCAATTCCAATCGAACTCTAGTTAATTTTGATGAAGGGTTTTTCATCGAAAATAAGTATGTTAAGGGGCGGTGGTCTGTTTTAATCAAAAATTTTCTGCCATAAACGTATGGTCTAAAATAAGTTATAGCCCAGTGGATTGCTGCTAACTCTTTTTCAATTGTAGCTTTATTGCTTTCACCTTTTGTGAATGCTCTTGACGCATAGGCAATTGGTAATTGTTTGCCTTCATATTCTTGACTAAGAACTGCGCCGCAGGCAAATCCACTAGCATCTGTTGTTATACAAAATTCTTTATCGAAATCTGGATATTGCAAAATATTTGGGTTAATTAATGCCTCCTTCAAGTAGACAAAAGCTTTTTGACATTCTTCTGTCCAATCGAAGGAAACATTCTTTTTACATAACCTTGTTAAAATTCTAGAATGTTCTGCAAAATTTGGAACAAATTTTCGGTAATAGTTACAAAATGCTACAAATCTTTTAACTTCATCTGCTGTTTTTGGGGTTGGATAATTTAGTACAATTTCAAATTTACTAGGATCAGGCAAAATTCCTTTATTTGTGCAGTTATGTCCAAGGTAAGTCACTTCTTGGTTAAAAAATAAACATTTATCCGGATGTAACTTTAAATTGTATTTTCTGCAAGTTGAAAATACATCTCTCAAATTTTTTAACATGTGTTTTTCGAAGCACCCTAATACTACCAAATCATCCATATAGAGAAATGCTTGGGATGGTTTAAGACCTGCAAAAGCAAGAGTCATCATTCTTTGAAACGAGTTTGGGGCTACTTTTAAGCCGTATGGCAATCTTTTGAAACGATATGTGCCATTGTCTGCCGTAAACGATGTTATGTCCCTAGAGTCTTTATGTAACTCAATTTGATGAAAGCCGGACATCAAGTCCAAGCATGAAAAATATTTAGCTCTACCCAATTGATCTAGTATATCATCAATTCGTGGCAATGGGAATTTATCTGCGGTTAACTTTTTATTTACTTGTCGATAATCAACTACTAGTCTCCATCTTTTATCATTTTTTCCCGGTAGAGATTTTTTGGGTACCAGCAGAATTGGGCTATTATATTCTGACATAGACGGCTCTATTATGTCATCTTTAATTAATTTATCTACGTGTTTACAAATTTCGCTTTTATGAGCTTGTGGGATTCGGTAATTTTTTACATAAACTGGATTATCATCTTTCATACGTAGTTTTTGCTTGTAAAAATTATTAGTGGTAATGGGTTCTGATTCTAGTGAAAATATATCTATATATTCTGCACAAAGTGCATTAAGCTGTTGGGAAACGAATTTTGGAAAATTTTTATTTAATCTTTCTAATTTTTCTTTAGCATTATTTGCTGGTTCAGTTTTATTATTTATTATTGTGTAATCATCTAAGTTTTCTGTGTTAATTTTGAAATTTTGAATGGTTGCATTTTTGTCTGTTGTATTTATGACTCTAATAAAGGTTTGATTTGAATTTACTAAGGTATTTGCAATAAAAACACCTTCAGACAATTTTTGATGAGGTATCAATAATTCAGAATTGCCATTTTCAATATTGACTTGTCGGATTACTTCCGATCTTGCTGGGATTGTTATGCAATTAACATTTGGTCTATTTGTCATTTGTATTATTATGTTTTCCGGGTAATCATATGGACGCAGTATCAGGCTGTCTCCATTTTTGCTATAATCTAAAATGCAATTATATTTTTTAATAAAATCAAGTCCCAAGATTCCATCGCAAGGAATTGGGAAATCATCTTCGACTATATGAAATTTATGATTAATAAGTAAGTAATCATCTTTTAAATCTGCCTTGACTGTTCCAATAGTACTAGTTAAACCTTGACCAATGCCCTTTAAATCGGTTTTTTGTGAATAATTAATAGTGACATTACTGTCAATTTGACCCTTTTTTATAATTGATATATCCGCTCCTGTATCGATCAGGAGGGTTGAAATTGAATTATTTAGAGTTGTTTTGGAAGATATGTAGCTGTTAAGGTGTAAATTGAAAACACATAGTTTTTTATTTATTGAGATGGAGTTTGCTGGTTTTCCTGTTGGTTAACATTTCTTATAGTCCTGGTACGATTATAGCCTCGTGCTCCAAAATTTCGTCCTGACCTTTGGTTATTTGATCGATTATTATTGTTATAACTATTATTGTTATTAAAGTTATTAAAGCGTGATGGGTATGTACGCCTTTGGTTACCTCTATAATTGCCAGATTGATAACCTCTGCGGAAATTACCGCGAAAATAATTTTGTTGGCGTATGTGCAATAATGAATTAGGGTTACCTGTAATTTCTGTGCAACTATTTGTGAATTTCGATACAGCCTCGTTCATTGAGGTGAACGTTCCAGCTTGCATAATTGTTTTCACCTTATCATTGGAGCAATTCTTACACATGGCTTTCACAGCTGTTTGTGTAGCATACTTAGTTGCGAGGTCTGTTGTTAAGCCATCAGATATGTATGCTCCCTCTAGTGATTTCGTTAATTTTTCAATTTCTGCTGTGTACTGATTAGCAGTCTTACTGCGCTGTTGGATGTTCAGGAGTTTTGCTGTTAAAACTTCTACTCACTCACCCTTTATTGCGTTTTTTAATTTTTGTTTAATTTCTTGTATTGTCGTCTCATTGCTTATGAAATTTCTGGCTGTGCCTTTTAGCTTTGTTTTTATCATAGACACTGCAATAGCCTCATGATTTTCTTTAATTTGTTCGAGGATATCAAGTGCATCTAGAAAACTTGGTAGGTTTTCGGGTTTGCCATCGAACTCGGGCAAAATCGAAGACGCAGTCTTGATGAATGCTACTGTTGTTTGCGTCATACTTGTTTCGGTTTGTGTATCTTGTTCTGCAATTTCGACAAAATTTGTTTGTGTAGATATTTCTTCTTGCACAACAATCTCTTTTTGTTCTTCCTCGGTATCCGACGTACCTTCGAACAACCAAATGTCGAAATCGATCTCGATATGTTGTTTGTAAGAGGTTGGTATTTCAAATTCAACGTTATACCTGGATAACGAGGATACTAGTTTGTCTCTAACGCTTGAAAATACCTGGTAGGACTCCAATTGGTGAGCTTTTGTTAGGGTATTATTAACTCTACTTATGAGTTTACCTATATTGTTTAGCGATGACAGTAGAACATTTAAATGTTTCTTTACTGTTTCAGTTTTAATTTTTATGTTCTTACATATGCACTTATAAGATTTTTCCGCGTTTATTTTATTTTCAGTGAGTTCCTTCGAAATTTCTTCCCACTTCTCCATTGAGAGAATGAATCAATAATAAAAAAAAATGTTTATTTAAACCTTATCCAGACCGTCAGCGCGGCTCTGGTATCTCTTTTTAAGAATTTTATTGTGGGTTGTGTAAAATTTCAAGAATAAACTCACTGCGTTGATAATGACGATAACTATAAGGTAAACTTTTATTGTATCCAAAGCTTCAGTGTGGTCTATTATCTGAACCGTGTTTACCACGTTAGCATTTGGATCACTGACCTTCGATTCTTTACCTCCCATTTTTAAAACAAATCAGTAAAAATTTTTCTTTCCAAAATTTATCTATTTTGTTTTTTTTTTTTTTAACAGCCAGGTTCAAAGCCTGCCTTTCGCATTGCTCTTGTTATTTCTTCTGTCTAAGTGGTTGGGGTGAGTACATCATGCATTGTAGGCTCTCGGGTCATGCCAATATCTTTACAGAGTTTCTTTATTTAAAAAAAAATCTCATTCAGAAAATTATAGTTTTCTTAATTCGTAAATTTTTTCCATTAATTTAAGTCTATCATTATTTGTTGTGGCAAAATTTAGTGCCCTATATGTCAAAGCTATTTCTTTCTTCTTCCTGTATCGCTTTCCTCCTCGAGTTTGCTTTTTAGTTTTGAAAATGGGTGGAATCTTTGGTTCTTCCACCCGTCTTTGTAATTTGTTTCGCCGCCGATATTCCTCGATAGTTATCGGTTGCGGCCCTATTTGTACAACTTCGGAGGTTTGAGGAACCTCCTCTGTTACTCTTGGAGGATCTTGATTTTTCTTCTCTGCCTCTAATGTGAACCTCTCCCATCTATCAAAAATGGAGTCAAACTCCTCCTGGGAGATTTCTTGCATGAGAACAAGGAGGGAGTGAAGAGGAAGAAAAAAAAATTATATAATTTAAGGAAAGCCAAAAATTTAAGGAAAGCCAAAAAAATCTATTATGAGACTTAAAATCTTCCTTTTAAAAAAATTTTTTTTTTTTTTTAATTTGATAAAAAAAAAATTACTTATAAATTACCCTAAGCAGGAATCTGCTACTTGGCTGGCGGTAAACGCCGAAGAGTTCTAAATATTAAAACTTATTCTATATATTTTTTTTTTTACCATTACATAACTTCGTTCCTTTGGTTTGAATTAATTTTCCTCTGGTAATAATGTATTCAGCGGCAGAAGATTGCAAAACGTCCTTACTTATTGATAGCAGCTTATAATTGAATGAACCAATTGCATCCGTTCCTTTGGTTTGAATTAATTTTCCTCTGGTAATAATGTATTCCTTCGTGTTGTCCACCGCATTATATTGTTATTTGTTGCGTTGGTGTTTTTTTTTTTTTTTAAATTATCCAGGATCTGCTGAAAATAAAGCAGACTGGCAGGATCCAGCTAGTCTGCTGAAAATAAGCAGACTGGCAGGATCGCCATAACGAATGTTTTTATTATTAAATAAAACGCGTTTTGTTTTTAGCTGCGACTTAGCATGTCGCATAACAAAATCTGTGTTGTTCTTTATTGGAATCATCTTATTTATACTCTAACATCTTATGTACTACTTATTTACTACAATACATATTTACTTAAAATTCTTACTGACTGAATCTCTCGCTTGCACATATGAGCATGCATTCATATGTGCCTAGCTCAAAGCATAGCTCAGTGAAGTCACCAACACACACACACAACCATTTCTAATGTGGAGCTACAAGCAATGCATCCACAGACATATCTACATGTACCAAGCATGAAGATGCTAGCAGCGCAGTCGTACATATTTACATACATAGAGCTAGCGCATGCACCAGATATAGCTTGTGCCGCTTGTGTGTTTAGCGTGTGAAAATAACAAAGTAAGGAATTTGTTTATGCTGCAAAAATACATAACACAGGCGTGTGGCTTTGTTGTTGTTAGTGACTTATTCTGATATACTACAATGTTGAGGTCTACAACAATAACAAAATATGTACTAATTTTTCCACTTCGAAATTTCCGCGAT